CCCGCCCCCGAGCCCGGCCCCGCCCCCTGCGGAGACCACGCCCCTCCGGAGGACCCCGCCCCCTCGGGAGGCTCCGCCCCCTTCCGGCCCTGCAGCTCCGGGCTGGGCACGGGTGAGGGGGGGGGGACCCCAATGTCCCCAAATGTCCCCAAATGTCCCCGAGTCCTGCTCTGGGACCCCGCCGGCCCCGCCCCCGAGCCCGGCCCCGCCCCCTGCGGAGACCACGCCCCTCCGGAGGACCCCGCCCCCTCGGGAGGCTCCGCCCCCTTCCGGCCCTGCAGCTCCGGGCTGGGCACGGGTGAGGGGGGGGGGACCCCAATGTCCCCAAATGTCCCCAAATGTCCCCGAGCGTCCCCAGCTCTGCTGTCCCCGCTGTCCCCGCTGTCCCCGCTGTCCCCTGACCCCCCGGTGTCCCCCCCAGACTCGGACTCGGAGCAGGAGCAGGAGGAGGAGGAGGAGGAGGAGGGGGACGAAGGCCCCGGGGGGTCCCCGCAGGACCCTGGGGACACCGGGGACCCCCCCGGGCCCCCCCGGAGCGGCGGCGCCATCCTGGTCACCGTGCCCTGGGGGCGCGTCACCGCCGACTGTCCCCCCGAGGTCAGGGACACGCGTGTCACGTGTGTCACGTGTGTCATGTGTGTCATGTGTGTCGCCCCAGGTCCCTGTGGGTCACCCTGGGTCACCTCGGGTCCCCAACTGCCACTGTGTGTCCCCCTGGGTGTCCCCTGTTATCACCCAGTGCCCCCCTGGCTGTCCCCATGGGGGTCCCTAATTGTCACCCAGTGTCACCCCAGGTCCCCTGTGCCACCCCCGTGCCATCCTGTGTCCCCCTGGGTGTCCCCAGCTGTCACCCCGTGTCACCCCAGGGGTCCCCAGCTGTCACCCAGTGTCACCCCAGGGGTCCCCAGTGTCCCCCGGCTCTGTCCTGTGCCCCTTTGGGGTCCCCCGGGGTCCCTTTTGTCCCCGCTGTGTCCCTAGGGGTGTCCCCGGGGGGGGTCCCGGGTGTGACATTTTATTTTTGGGGTCCCGGGGGGGTTCTGGGACGAAGGCCCCGGGGGGTCCCCGCAGGACCCTGGGGACACCGGGGACCCCCCCGGGCCCCCCCGGAGCGGCGGCGCCATCCTGGTCACCGTGCCCTGGGGGCGCGTCACCGCCGACTGTCCCCCCGAGGTCAGGGACACGCGTGTCACGTGTGTCACGTGTGTCATGTGTGTCATGTGTGTCGCCCCAGGTCCCTGTGGGTCACCCTGGGTCACCTCGGGTCCCCAACTGCCACTGTGTGTCCCCCTGGGTGTCCCCTGTTATCACCCAGTGCCCCCCTGGCTGTCCCCATGGGGGTCCCTAATTGTCACCCAGTGTCACCCCAGGTCCCCTGTGCCACCCCCGTGCCATCCTGTGTCCCCCTGGGTGTCCCCAGCTGTCACCCCGTGTCACCCCAGGGGTCCCCAGCTGTCACCCAGTGTCACCCCAGGGGTCCCCAGTGTCCCCCGGCTCTGTCCTGTGCCCCTTTGGGGTCCCCCGGGGTCCCTTTTGTCCCCCCTGTGTCCCTAGGGGTGTCCCCGGGGGGGTCCAAGGCTGTGTCACGTTTATTTTTGGGGTCCCGGGGGGGGTCCCGGGGTGTGACATTTATTTTTGGGGTCCCGGGTGTGACATTTTATTTTTGGGGTCCCGGGTGTCACATTTTGTTTCTGGGGTCCCCAGGGGGGGGTCCCCGGCTCGCGGCTGGAGCTGGAGCTGGGGGGGGGCCGGGGGGGGTCCCGGGGTGTGACATTTATTTTTGGGGTCCCGGGTGTCACATTTTGGTTTTGGGGTCCCGGGGGGGTTCTGGGGTGTCACATTTTGGTTTTGGGGTCCCCGGGGGGGGTCCCAGGGTGTGATATTTTATTTTTGGGGTCCCGGGGTGTGACATTTGTTTTTGGGGTCCCGGGGGGGGTCCCGGGTGTGACATTTTATTTTTGGGGTCCCGGGTGTCACATTTTGTTTTTGGGGTCCCGGGGGGGTCCCGGGTGTCACATTTTGTTTCTGGGGTCCCCAGGGGGGGGTCCCCGGCTCGCGGCTGGAGCTGGAGCTGGGGGAGGGGCGGCTCTGTGTCCTCCCCCGCCCGGGGGGGCTCCGGGGGCTCTCCCGCGCCTGCGCCGACGCCCGGAGCCTGCGGCTGCTGCACGGTACCCCAAAAACCGGGGGGACCCCGAAACCGGGGGGACCCCAGAACGGGACCCCGAAACCGGGGGGACCCCGAAACCGGGGGGACCCAAAACCGGGGGGACCCGAAACCGGGGGGACCCCAGAACGGGACCCCGAAATGGGGGGATCCCAAAATGGCACCTCAAAAACGGGGGGGCCCGAAAACGGGGGAAGAAAAACGGGGGGGGGGTCCCCGGCTCGCGGCTGGAGCTGGAGCTGGGGGAGGGGCGGCTCTGTGTCCTCCCCCGCCCGGGGGGGCTCCGGGGGCTCTCCCGCGCCTGCGCCGACGCCCGGAGCCTGCGGCTGCTGCCGGTCCCCCAAAAACCGGGGGGACCCCGAAACCGGGGGGACCCCCCGGGGGGACCCCGAAACCGGGGGGACCCCGAAACCGGGGGGACCCAAAACCGGGGGGACCCGAAACCGGGGGGACCCCAGAACGGGA